GGGGGTTGCCGGACTCAGGAATTCAAGTGAAGGGGATAATCGAATGATTTTTTGGGCTTTGAAACTTTCGATATTCCGAAATTTTTTTGGGTAAAAAAGTTTGGCAAGTACTTTTTTGGGGTGGCTTGATTTAAGTAGGAATTTTAGGGTATTCAATACAATCTGAATTTTCAGATGGTGTGATTTTTGGGGGTTAGTTTTTGGTCCAGGGATTTTTTTAAGTTATGTTGGAAACCTTTGGGTTTTGATTGTTGCCCCCATTTAATCATCCCTGTCACTTGAAATCCGGAGTGCCCCCCCCCCCCTGCCCCCTGCCCCCTGGGCCTGGCTGTCACATTCCTTTGAAGGTAAAATAATATTCAGACAGAAACTGCTTATTAAATCAACAATTTGATATTTCAAATCGGACTAAAGCAAACATTAGAGGGGTCAGGAAGGCAGCTGACAAAACTAAATCATTCAAGCAGAAACTACATTTGCATATTTTGCAAAGTATAGAGAATTCATAAGTTTTGACTGATCTGACTCTTCACAGAATAAGCAACTCAAATAATAAATATTACTGAGGAAAAAATACCCAAAATCAGTGAAACTGATAGCTGAACAGATCAGATTAAGAGGTTCCTTCAAAATATATTGGGGTGACATATTACTCAGAGAGGTGCCCTCGCCGGCTAAGCTATATAGGAGTGTGCTAGGCAGAACAGAGTATGGTTTTTATGGTGCTTAGTCTATAAATAGGATATTCCTTTTTTATACTATAACCGTTTGATTAAAGCAAAGGCATTTCAAATAGGTTTGAACTTAAGAACGCTTGCTTTGTGAATGTCTATAAAAAAAGAAATAAAAACAACCTATTGAAACAATTTTATGTTTTTGATTTTCCCCATAGGGTGTGATGTTTCAATTTTCTTTCCATTAAATGGGATCATAGAAGATTAACACCCTTGAATATGGATAAAATGTAACATTCAAGACCGCAAGTCCTTTGATAACAAATCTCACACCTCGGGCAAAAATTTTCAAAATCTGAGATGGAAATGAATGCAGAAAATCAATAGTTCCAGGCTCTTCACAAATTCTACTGAGATTTCAAGATTAAATTGAAACTTTTGGAGAACAACGATTTATAAGAACCATTTGCAACCTTACGGCCCTGTCAATGTTCACTCTTTATTAAAACACAACAGGTTACAACAGATAATCCCCAGTCCCTATTTCAAGAATTGGTTAGTTTTCATTGATATCATGAATTTTAGTTAAACAAGAACGCTCTTACGGAGGCGTCAGTCTCGCTTGCTTGGATCGAAAAATGAGGAAGCGATTAACTCTACACGAAACAGGATTTACTCGCTAAATGTTTTATACTTCCTACTTTATCGACGTCGATACTTTTTATTTGTTTCTGAATTGATTTAGTACGCGTATTAGCGACGACCGGAAATACGTCTGCGGTCGCAGGCTATACGCGTATATAAATATACGAAAATTCAAGGGCCTCGATTCCAGAGAAATTACATCATTGCCAATCATTGTCAGAGATCAAAAATGTGATTTACATATTGCACGTCATTTCAATCATCGCCAAAATTAAATCTCATGCTCATCACTAGACCATTTGCATACAATGAAAGTTTACAACACCCTACCATCATTTTATTTTTTTTTTCGACCACTCAGAAGTGTTCACTTGTTCCAAAGCAATCAACGCTTTCAAGCGATAGAATTTGTGGACCGACACGTTTCCGAAAAGCTCTAAATTTAATCTTCCCTAAGCTTTCTTCGCAAAATATCCCTTCTCTTACATGTAGCGTTTAAAGAACCTGATATACTACCTTACAATGAATCATAGTTTTCATATTTATCGTGTGTTTATAAGACTGTTCTTCACATCTAACTGTATTGTGTAGTTCTAAAATGCTAAAGAAATTAAGGAAAATGGAGCAAATGTCCAGCCTAATATGTAAGGCTGTATCTAGACACTTCCATCTTCTAATTGTCTATTTTTCCAGCCCAACCATCTTCACGCTCAGATCCCATAGCTTCTTGGCTGCGGCATCATCCTGGGCCCCCTTGGATTCCTCCACAATGGCGCAATCTCGCAGATATTTTCCACTGACACCTTCCATCTCTTCAGAGACTGCACAGTGAATGGTAGTTTGGGCTCCCTGTTCGGCTGTCTTAAATGTATACCAGCGAA